AAAAAAAAAAAAAAAAAAAAAAAAAAAAAAAAAAAGACAAAAAGGGAAAAAAAAAAAAAAAAAAGAAGTCTTTGACTTCTAACAAACAATGCAAATCAGTTGGAGTCAGCTTAAGAAACGAAGCAGAATTCATTGGTTAGGCTAGAGGAGCTTCTTATGGAATTCACAGGAGAAGTGCAGCTATGCCCAGGCAAGGAATGGAACCAGTATTTGGGAGCATGTTGGGACTCTTTCTGTCTCCCACCTCTTATTCTATCCTGAACGTCAACGTCATTTTTCCATCTCACTGCAGACCAGCTTTGTGTGCTTCTCAGTATGTGTGGCAGAACGTGGCTGCCCTAACCCTTTGGAAATTATATTTCCAGACACAATGGTAGACTGTCTTTAGGTCCTAATTCCCAACTCCTAGGTCAAAGAATTGGATTACTGGACCAATCAGCTATGGCCAGGGAGGAAAGGGACCTGTGCCTCTAATAGTTGGAAGCTCTTTCTCACGGGTGGGCTGGAAATCACCAGAGAAGAGTGGCTGGGCAGACACCTCAGTCAGTCTCACTGCAGTGGCCGGATGGGTAGGTAGTTGTGGATGTGTGGATAGATGGATGATGGGTGAATGAATGGATGGGTGGACAGATGGATGTGTTAGCTGTGTCATCAAATAATACTAACAGCTCAGGAACCTGGAATGAAGGAAGGAAAGCTCTTAGCAGTGATGGTGGTAGTGGGGTGTTGGGGTAGGGACAGCTCGGAGGAGAGAGCCCTTTCTGTAGTTGAGGTTGTAGAATGGGTCACTACAGAAGTAAGCTTATTACTACCAGCCAAGGATTTCTGGAAGCTCCTCGCTTCCCTTCCTAGTGGGGAGCTAGGAAGTTTCTCCTCTGTATTTTCCTTCCAGCTGCTGAAGGGGGATCATCTTTAGCTTTGACAGGGATTAGCTTCTAAAAATAAGCTGGGCCATACAGTAGCCCTTTTCTTGCAATCCTGGGGCGGGTAGTCTTGTCCAGCCTCTTCAGGTGGTCTGGGGAAGCCATGGCCTCCTGTTCTCTCCTCCCCCCATTTTGGGACTGGCCTTCCTGCAACCCAATCTCCTGCTTCCTTCTTAGGATACCCGGAGCCACAGGTGACCTGGTACAAGGATGACACAGAGCTGGACCGCTACTGTGGCTTGCCAAAATATGAGATCATTCATCAGGGCAACCGCCACACACTGCAACTGTACAGGTGAGGGAGGGGGCCTGTTCTGCTCTCTCTGCCCTCCTGAGGGCTCTATGACCTGGATCCTGCCCTCAGAAATGGAGTTGGCTGCATGGAGATACCCAGGCACTATCTGGGGATGGAGGGTGGGTTCTACTGCTGAGCTAAATCACTTGGTGAACTGTGTCTACTTGCTGTTGTCTGGGATCTCCTAAGGCCAGGGTGGGTGGGAGTATTTCTGACATTCAGAGAGCTGAGTACAATCAGAGGAGGTCCTGACCCACAGAAACATTTTCCATGAGGTCAGCTGACAAAAAAAGCAACTGTGTCATCATCACTTCACAAGGGGCTGTGTTGGTCACCTGCATCTGAAGGGAGCTCTTCTGGACCTCAAGTCTAATCGCTCCTGGGACAGCATGCCCCTGGTCAGCTGTCAGCCTCTTGCCAGCCTCAGTGTCTTCAGCTGTAATCAAGGGTGTTGTATGTGGTGATGTCTGAAGTGGGACATGGCACTCAGGGCAGGCCTTGTGGTGGGGAGGGGGAGGCATGTTCAACTCTGAAAGGCTGTGGGGAGTTGGGGGACTCTCACTTCCCAAGAGGGGAGAGGTAGTACCTCATGTTCCTACCTCTAGGTGTCAAGAAGAAGATGCCGCTATCTACCAAGCCTCTGCCCGGAACACCAAGGGTATCGTGTCCTGCTCAGGGGTCCTGGAGGTGGGCACCATGACTGAGTACAAGATCCACCAGCGCTGGTTTGCCAAGTTGAAGCGCAAGGCTGCCGCAAAGATGCGCGAGATTGAGCAGAGCTGGAAGCATGGGAAGGAGGCAGTGGGGGAGGCTGACACCCTGCGCAAGCTCAGCCCCGACCGCTTCCAGCGAAAGCGGCGACTGAGTGGGGCTGAAGTGCCAGTCTCTTCAGCCTCTACCAGGGAGGCAGAGGGTGGGACCCTGGTGGCTTGGCAGGACGGAGAGACTGAGTCTGCTCAGCACCCAGGTTTGGGCCTGATCAACAGTTTTTCTCCCGGAGAGGTGACCACCAATGGGGAGACTGCCCCAGAAAATGGAGAAGACGGGGAGCATGGCTTGCTGACATACATCTGTAAGGCCATGGACCTCGGGCCTCAGAGAGCCCCCCAAAAGGAGTCTGGGGCTAAGAAGAAAAAGAAAGATGAGGAATCTAAACAAGGTCTGCGGAAGCCAGAGTTAGAGAAGGCAGCCCGAAGCCACCGTTCTTCAGAAAATCGTGTCCCCCGTTCAGACAAGCCTGATTCCTGTGCGATACAGGAGCCCATGGACATGAAGCAGGTTCAGACCCAACCCAGAGGCAGGGCTGCACGGGGGCTTGGGTCCTCTGGAATAGATAGTACCAGGAAGCCAGCCTCTGTGGTGGGAACTGGAGACAAGTCCCAGGATGCCCCTGCCCCAGTCCAAGGCCCAGACCAGAAAGTGGATTTCTCCCTGAAGGACATGTATATGGAGAACACCCAGGCAATCAGGCCTCCGAGGGAGGCGGGGTCTCAGCCCCCAAGTGTCAGGGCACCAGGAGAGATTCCCATGGAGGCTAGAGGTGAGGGAGTGCCTACTGCCCCTGGCCAGACCACACCTTTGTTGGCCTCTCAGCCGACTAGGCCTTTCAACAGGAAGAGATTTGCCCCTCCAAAGCCCAGAGGGGAGCCCACCATTGACAGCAAGCCCATTTTTTCTCTGAGTCAAGCTCCAGAATGCGGGACCCAGAGCTTAGGGAAGGCCCCGCCTCAGGCCCCCACCCAGGTGCCAACACCCCCTGCCCGGCGCAGACACAGCACCCGGGACAGCCCCTTGCAGGGGCCAGCAGGCAGCAGGACTCCGGGAGAGGTGAGTGTGGGTGTTGGGTGTCTGGAGGCCACTCTGGGAAGCTGACCTCATGGAAACTCTTGCTGCAACAGCTCGTCAGCCAGTGAGCAGACGGCTATTTATAGAAGGGGGTGGGGAGAGAATGAAGTGCCAGCTAGAAGCAGGCACCACAAGCATAGCCCTCACTCCAGCCAATCTCTGGGTGCCAGGCATGTGGGCAGCACAGCCTATCTATGACCCTGTCTTCTGAGAGTGTGAGAGTTTACAGCCAAGGGGACTGTGCCCCAGGGGAGATGGAAGAAAATAATGTTCTCTGGGAGAGGAAGGGGGCCAGTGGAGAATCTTCTGTGGGCTATGCTGAGGCAACAGTGTCTCATGGAGGAGACTGAGGAGTTGGAGTGTGCTGTAGTGTGCAGTGGGTCTCAACCTGAGTGTTCATTAGGAGATTTAAAAAAATACTAAATGTCCAGGAAATGCTGGTTTACTTGGAGTCAGGTATACCTATATGTAAATCTGACTACCCTTAACATGGTGTGATCTTGGACCAATTGTAAAGTTGGAATCATCACCATCATCATCATCATCATACTTAATAGGGGTGTTATAAAAATCAGGGTACTTAGCACAGGGCCTCGTGTCCATTAAGAACTAGGGGCCGGCCCGGTGGCGCACTGCTACAGTGCGCTCTTTGGGAGTGCGGCGGCGCTCCCGCCGAGGGTTCGGATCCCACATACAGAGCAGCCGCTCACTGGCTGAGCGCAGTGCGGGCGCAGCGCCGAGGGTTGCGATCCCGTTGCCGGTCCTGGTCCGGTACGGGTGTGACACTGAGGGTTGTGATCCGTTGCCGGACACGAAAAAAGACAAAAAAAAAAAAAAAAAAAGAACTAAATAAATGGCATCTTGTATAAGACATTACTATGGTGGAAGATGGAGACAATCTGTTTTATTTGGGAACAGGAATGCCATCGTTTCCTGAGGAGCAGGTAGCCAGTGGAGACAGAGGTAGTGGTTGTCCACTCATCGAAGAAAGAGGCAGATGACTGACAGCATCAAGAAGCTTGAAGAGTGGGATTGAGAGGATTGACAGGAGGGAGACAGCTTGTCCCATTTGGTCAGCGTTTCATGTTTTAGGAACAGAGGGAAGGCAGTATTTCACAGGGGTCTAGGGAGACAGAGTGTTTTATAGTGAGGTAGAACACAGTATTTCTTATAAATGGCTGAAGGAAAAAGTTTTGAAAGTGGGGATGGGGTGGAAAAAATAGACGGGATATATTTATACTAAGAAATTCTTGATTGCTTATCTGAAATTCCAATTTAACTGGGTGTCCTGTATTTCTTTTTGCTTAATCTAGCAACCCTAAGTGGAGATGGCCTCTGGTTTTGGTGGGAACTAAGATGAGATTGTTTCTTGGGGTGGACAAAGCAGGAGTCATGGGTTCTGGAAATGGAGGCTTCGTAGGGGAATAGGAGGAATATTAGAAAGCGGCATTTCATAGGGGTTGGGGCAGAGGACAGACGATTTCTTGGGATGGTGAAGGGAAACATACGAGGAACGAGCTGATACAGCACCTCGTGGAGGGCAAAGGGAAAGGGATGCTTTCTGGAAAGCAGGGAGGGGCTTTCCCATGGAGAGAGCTTTCAGTCGGGGGAAGAAGGGAGAGGCCACTTTCAAGGGTGACCGTGGGAAATGGTTTTATTTCAGTTGGTGCTGAGGTCAGACTGTTGGAACAGTAGTTCAGAGGGCTTTGGAGTGAGGCAAACCTCAAGGACCTCAAACCAGGCTCTCTTCATGACTCTTGCCCCTTTTGTGCTTGATCTCAGGCGATTTTACCACTGGTGTGGTGAGTTCGCAGTGGCTCAGAGAAAGCTTGGTGGGGCTGCTCCATGTGTCTGGCAGCCCACAGGCTGGGGGCCTTTCTGGAGAGATGGTCCTCGTAGCCCCTAGGGAGCTCATTTAGGAAGTGACCAGGCTGGCTGCCAAGTGTGAGTGCGAATCTGGCTTTTCTCTACCACACCGGGATGGCTACATTCTCCTGGCAGGGCCAGAGGAGGAAGTGCCAGCCCCCCACCCCCTTCTTTGCCTCCCCAAAGTGGGGCAGGGGCTTGGGTGGTACAGGTGCCTGACAGATTGTCTCCAGTGGTTCCACTGCTCCTGCAAAAATCTTGTGTGCTTTTTATTTTTTTTAACTCCAAAAAATTGTGAAATATATCATACATGTGAAATACATTATTTAACATCTCTGTATATTTTTAAGCTGTTCCTTTTTAGTGGATAAATTTGATTAGTTTTTCATATTCTTCTTTTAAAAAACCTTATTTTTCTGATTATAAAAGAAACACATGGTCATAGTAGAAAATATGGGGGGGAACTCTAAAAATTCAGAGGAGAAAGTAAAAATTCACCTGTAATCTACCATGCAGAGATAGCCATCATCCAAGAGATGATGGGATATCTTGTACATCACCAGTCTTTTTTATGTGTGTATATAGCTTTATGTATATATATATATATATATATATTTTTGTCTTTTTCGTGACCGGTAAGGGGATCGCAACCCTTGGTGTGGTGTCGCCCACACCGCGCTCAGCCAGTGAGCGCACCGGCCATTCCTATATAGGATCTGAACCCACGGCGGGAGCGTCACTGCGCTCCCACCACCGCACTCTCCCGAGTGCACCACGGGGTCAGCCCAATTTTTTTTATTTTTAAAGTTTAATTTGTACTGTTACTTTACTTCTCATTATTTCATGAGCATTTCCCCATGGTTTCTAAAAATTCTTTGAAAACTTCATTTTTAATGGCAGTATAAGATGCCATAGTATGAATATTTTAACCATTTCTTCCATAGTGTTTCCTTTCCTATTCAAAGATTAAATAGTAATCTATATTTTTTCAAATTTTTATTGTTTCAATTCTTTTATTTGACTTTTAAATTAATCTGAAATTTATTTGGGTGTGTAGTATTGCATCATTCTCTAGCTTGATTTTTGACTAGAAAATAAGTCATTTCTCCCAGCATAATTTGTAGAATATTCAACCCTTATTTATTAGTTTGTGATTCTTTCTTTATGTACTAATTTTTGTACACACGAGAGCCTATTTTAGTTCCTACATATACATCTATTATGATCCATTAACCTGTTGATTCTTACACAAGACAATCTCTTTTTAATTTTAATAGCTTTAACTTCCGGCAGGGCAAATTCTTCTCTTATACTCCTGTCAAAAATTTTCTTAGCTATTATCTCTTGTTTATTACTCTAGGAAAGCTTTACAATCACTGTTTGAAGTTCTCCAAACTCCCAGATACCATTGTTTTTTACTTTATATCTTTATGTTCACCATTTTAAAAAACTACATTTTGAAAAAAGCCATGAAAAATGCCTATTAAATCCTTTCAGGTATAACTAAAGACAGATTTGCATTTTGCATGGTCTTTTACTAAAACTTTGCTAGATGTATATTTTTAAATAGCTTTATTGAGGTATAATTTATATACCATAAAATATACCGATTTTAAGTGTACAATTCCATGTACACAATCCAGAGTTGTACAGTCACCACCACAATCCAGTTTTAGAACATTTCCATCAGCTCCCAAAAATCCCTCTTCCACTTTACAGCCAGTCCCTGTTCCCATGCCTAGACCTAGGCAACCGCTAATGTGCTTTCTGTCTCTGTACCTTTAGTATTTTTATTGGGATTGCATTAAGTATAAAAATTAATTTGGAGAAACCAGTATCTTAATATTTAGTTTTCTCATTTGGGAGCATGCCATTTATTTCCATTCTTCAATTCTTCTTTCTTATCTCTTTTTAAATTCTGTTGTTTTCTTCATATGGCCCAGCATTTCTCTTGTTAGGGTTAGGTACATTAAGGGTGGTTGCTTCTGGGATATGATACCAGTACTCTCCTACTCTGTCTTGATTTCCTTTCCTGAGAATAAGGGGTATTTCTGGAAGCTCAAGTTAGCCTTCTACCTTGGGTATGGATGAGGAACAGATGCTAGAACTGAGGTCTCTTGGGTTGTTCAGAGTATCCAGAGATCCTCTCTTCCAGCCCAGCCATGCTGTTCAGATAGCTCTTTCCCTGGGCAGAAGCAATCTTGCCTAAAGGTACTTAGTGAGTGGAAACTGGCCTTGAATGCCCTAAAAGGCTTCTTCTTAGTGCTCTAAGCTGAGTTCTTTTCTGAGACTACCTCAGATCTCTGGAGCTGAGGTATGGGAGTGTGGCAACTTAATAGAATGCCCCATCTTCCCAAATCTTCATATTGGACATTGTACGTATAGTGGAGTTCTGCTGAATGCTTTGGGACCCAAGAGTATCTCTTCTTGAGAAACCCTGAGAATGATCATGAGGATGATGAGTTCCTGAGAATGATCGTTCTAAGATGTGGAACTCTCCTCTCACAATAAGAGCTCTTTAGTTTTCAGGGAATACATGAATATAAGTATTTTCTGAGAGCTGTTGAATGGAGAGGGGCTTGAGGAGAGACATCATCCTTGCCTTGAGGGGTTATCTACTGAATCCAGAGGACTAGACTCACACCAGACAAGAAGTGCAAAAAGGACGTGGTAAATGGTAACTGCAGTGGGCTTCTAGAGAGAGAGGATGGTGTGGTCTAGAGCCACCAGGGGAGGCATCTGGAAGAAGCCAGATGGGTTGGCAGCATGTATAAGATCTATTACTGGAAATGCCATATTAGAAAAACATTGAATATAATTTTTTTACATATAAAAGAATGTCCACAATATCCTAAGATAGAAAGAAATTAGGCATGTGAAAGAGGAAGGAAGACATTCTGGGAAGGATGAACAGCTTGAGGCAAAACTAAGGTGGTGGGTTAGACAGGGAATGCAAAATCAGCCTGTCCAAATTTTAATGCCAAAATCCATTGGAAGCTTCTCTCAACACTTTTTCTTTCCTTCTCTGTCTTATGTTCTGCTTTGGTTTGTTTAGCATCAATTGTAACATTATCTAGGGTCAGGAGTGAGGCAGAAAGGGGGAAGAAATAGCATTT